CTATGGGGCTAAGCTGCTTGCCCACTTCATGTAACACTGACTTCCCCACTGGCACCCATCTATTCCCAGGTATCCATGCCCAGGATCAATTGGAAAACTGGGATCCCTCCTGACGCAGTTAAACTAAAGAGCCAGTCCTGTTTATGAGAGCTTTCACCTGTATGTACTGAAGCTCATCAGTACCATCAGCATCAACACTTACAGCACACAGTGCATATACAGGATCCATGCAGTCGGCTGCACTGCTTTGCTCCTGTATGTCCTAATTTTACCCCCAGACACATTTACAGCTGAGTGAGCAAATGAATGACCTGGAAGGTGTTTTTCCTGCCTATGTTCCTCTCTAGCTGTGGCTGACACCCTATAGTGGGGTTGGCCTGAACCTTTGCTATGTCCTCCCTGCCTGCACTGCCCTGCAAACCCAAAGTGAATCCAAAAGGAGCCAATGTTCTCAGCTTTGACAGTGTTTGGTCAGGAAACACAACTCACAGCCCAGTGCTAACCCATGGGTACTTCAGCTGAAGATGTTGCCTCTCACACCCATGCAGATTTAGGAGGTACAAGAACCTCCATGTCCAAAATGGCTCTTAGCTCCTTGAACTGTGTTAAATGTCGCACCTTTAGTTCATCCCTCGTGGACTCAGCCTCAACCACAACCTTAATGTCAAAGAATAAGAATACAAAGTTAAACTTGCCCTTTATTTTAAGGGCAGAAAAAGTCCAACTTCCCCAGGCTTTGGAGCACGTAGAGCTCAGGAGAAGAGTCTCCATCCTTCAAGTGTCAATGTGTGTTACAAGCACAGCCCACTACAGCAAACAATACCACCACTGCACCCAGCTAGAAAGGGAACTGCAAGGGCATCCATATCTATAACCATAACCCTTATCCTTATCCTCATCCATAACCCTTGCTCTGGGAAAACAACATTAACCCCCAAGCACAATGTAAAGAACGAGGAACCCAACGTGATAAATTTAAATGTTTTTTTATTAACAAACATTTTACATTACAAGGATAATATGACAAAAGGAAGGTTCTCGTGTACATACTATGATATATCAACATAGCTCTATTCGTATCCAGTGTCCTAGGTCCTTTCACACAGGTACTATAAAGCATAGTCTGTAAAGTAATAACCATTTTTAATGTTCTCCAAAAGAGTGATATTAACATATTAATACATATGTAATAATAGACGTCTAGATATTTTCCTCTCATTTCATGTGTTTGTGTGTGTGCGGTGGGTGGGTGAGAGATCGTTTGAAACAGTTCAGCAGGGCTGTGCTTGTGGATATGGGGAGGTTCGAGACGAAACCTCCTGTTTTCTGCAAGTAGAAAATGCCTTTTTTTTGCCAACAGTCGGGTGAGTTTATGAGGATGCCATTGACTGGCAGAAAAACTCCGTGGCCCTCCCATAGCATTCGGGACATTACAGCATATGAGACATGGTTCCCTCACGAGGCCCAGCGAGCTTATTCGACATGAGGTGCAGTGCAGGGGGAGCCCCTCGCCGGGCTGAGCCTCCGTGAGTGTCAGTGGCATCCGAAGGAGAGGGCTGGGAGCGAGGAAAACCATCGCTGAGGTTCACGAGGAGCCGGGGGGGCTCCCCATTGGCGCTGCATGGCCGGGATGGGGAGCTGCCGGCAGGCGGGTTGTGGTGAGGTGGATTACCAGTTGTGTGGAGGAGAGAGGCCGGGGAGAGGGCACTGAGGTGTGTGGTAGGGCTTGGGGGGAGCTTGCGGAGCTCAATGCGATACCAGTGTAATGAGTCGTTCCATTCGGCAAGGTGGAATTACAACCCATCCTCTTCCCAGCAGTTAGAACCAATGGAGAGGAGAGCATGGTTGGGTGGACCTGCAAAGCCAAACCTCCATGCCTTCCCTTCAATGCTTATGGGGAAGCAGCATGGTGATGCCAGCCCGGCCAGAGGAACCTCTTGGGTTACCTCAGGCACCAGCCAAGGACTGCACCCCACAGTAGGGTCAGTGTCCTAACAGTGGCTGTGTGAAGGGAGGGATGGAGGGATGAGGCTGCTGGCCATCCCGCAGACATGGGCACACAGGGGAGGCTGATCCAGTGCCTGGATCCATCCCCAGTCCCGCACAGAAACGCCTGTCATGCAAAACCAGCTTGGGCAAGAGGGGTGCACCCTCTGGTGCTTCAGCCTGGTGAGATCAGCACACAGTGTGTTGGGGCCCAAAGGCCACATGTGCCACTGATCACATCTTCTGCTCAACCACATCATTCTCTTCCCTCCAGAAAAGCCACCAGGTCCCCCACACAGGCAGGATGCTCACCAATGAGGAGCATCCATGAAGCCTGAGAGAGTGGAGAAGCTCCTGCAGCACAGCAGCAGCCAGCCTGGCCCAACAGAGCGGCACCATTTGGCTTACACACTCCCATCCTTACTGCTCCAAGCTCGCGGTCCTTTCTCATCCGTGCTACTCCAGCTCCAAACACCACCCCTGTCACCTCCGACCGCGCAGCAGCAACCCTCCCTCTACTCAGGAATGCCTTGGCTTTCCTGCTGCCTTTATCCCAGTGCATGGCTGTGTCACTGACTGATGCCCACGAGCAAAGCCATGCTCTCACGGAGCCTGCCAGCACCAAGGAGCACTGGGAACAACAGCAGAAAGGCCCATTCTCACGGCACCAGTTGCCAGCCGCATCCGTGCAGAGAGAGCAAAGTGCATATGAAGGCGGGATATGTATCTGTGTGAACACACAGGACCTCAGCCAGAGGCTCACTCAGGAGAAGACAGGGACACTCAAGCAATTTCCCCCCACCAAGACGTTCCCCTATGCCACAAGCCTTATTTAGCACTTGGTTAACATGCCAGCAAGGACACCCCTTGCCCTAACCACAGCAAAGCCCCTCTCCATAGAGTGCTATACACCTAAATGCAGGCCTCAGTGTATGGCTAAAACTATCCCAAAGTCCAAAGTCTTCAGTGTTACGTGCCTTGTGCCAGAACACAGGGCCAGCCTTACACAAGGGTGGTTGAGACTATCTCTATATTATATCTTTATATCTATTGAAAACATAGAAATATATAAATATATAGGATTTTATTTATAGATATATAAGCATGTGATTTTAATCTTTTTTTTGTACTGTGTGTATATGTACTGGGATGTGCGTATATACAATATATAGACCATATGCATATGTACTGTATACATACACTAGCTTACATGCACACACATCATACGTGTCTCCAAGGGAGACAGGAATTGCATAGGCATTACTGCATTGAATACAATGGCTGGGGGAGCAACGTACCATTTCTCTGCTTTTAAGACCTCTTTCGACAGGGCTCAGAGGGCAATCTGCAAAAGCAGAAGCTGTTGATGCTTATTTGCAAGCCGGCTGTCTAGGTTGTCTTACCCACTGGTCAAACAAACAGCAATCCTCATGAGATAAGAAAGAAAAGGGACCCCGAAGGACCCCGAGGGCGACCTGGTTGAGTTTGTGCTGTGAGAAAGAGATGGGACTGAGCCTGAATCACGTCTGAGGAGTTGTACCAGCAAAAGCACAACAGCACAGGGGGGACATCGCCGCGGTCAGATGAGACCCAAGGCAGGAAACACATCAGGCCCCTGCCCATCACGTCCCCTCTGAACCCCCTGTGGCTCCCACGTGCTTTTGCTGGTATGGGAAGAGCTTTGGTCTCTTGTGAGGATTATCCCTGCTGAGTTCGGCCTTGTGGCCAGAGGGACCCCTGCGGCCACAGGCGAGCCCTGCAGAAGGACATGTCTGGATGTGCTTCACGGATTCCTGCTTCACAGCAGGGTGAAAGAGGCAAGAGCCTGAGCTAAGAGAGGGGAGGGGAGATTGGCAACAGAAACCCGAGGGTCTGGAGAAGTGTGCATTATTCACAGTCCAATGCCATAGCAAAGATACAGGGAGGGGGGGAGAACATAAAGAGCTCATCTGAGACAAATTAAACCCTTCTGTCTGTGCACCCGAAGCAGTTCAAGATGCTGTAAGCAACATGTTGAAAACAACCTCCTCTCATTCACTCAGCACAGCAGGAAAGGCATCGATTTAACCAAAACCATGGCGATCTCCGAGCCAAAGAGCCTCTTCCCTATGCCTGCTGCTGCCCAGCCGGGCCCTGGGGATTGTAAACAGGGCACAGAATCGAACCTGCTCCTAGGAAAGGCCAGGCAGGGAAGCCAGAGGCACTTTGCATTGGTATTCCTCCCCGTCTTGCTCATGCCTGCAGTCACGTTTCCATCCACAGCCTATCCATGGGAGTAACAGCTACAGATCGGAGATAGGCAGGGAAGGCTAGAGGGAAAGCTTGCAAAGCACCTACATTTGTCTAGGACAAAAGCCGGGAATTGTTTTTGTTGGGGGAGCTGGGCTGGCTTCTTTCCCCCATCCCTGACCTTTCCCATTGCAGGTATCCATAACATCCCGTGGCAGGGAATCACGCTTCCTACCGATGCCATTCACTGATGCACACAAAGTCATTTGCAAAAGAAACAAGCGCTTTCCCTTTGCCAGCTGACTGCCTGGAGGAAAAACCAGCACTGGTGCACGTTCCGCTCTGCCATGAGGAATGAGAGCAGCGGCTGAGAGCTGTCACTGAGGATGGGATTCGCAAATGAAGCAAAGGAGTGACAAATTAGAGGAATCATTCTGGAACAAGCCTGCGGCAGCTCTTACTTGCCAACAAGGCAAGGCACCATTTACTCCCCAGTGGCAACAGCAGAAAGGCTCAGAGCAGTTGTAAACGGGCCTCTCGGGTGGCTCAGCACAAGCCCTGGGGAGCACTCCTGTCTGCAAAGGTGTCTGGAAGCTCAAGTGTCCCTTCCCTCCATGCAGGCCAGGCACTTTGGTGGGCCCACGTGCCCACAAGCTTCCATTGCTGCAAACAGCATCACAGAATCCACTGGGTTGGAAAAGACCTTTAAGATCAAGTCCAACCGTTCCCCAGCACTGCCAAGGCCACCACTAACCCTGGCACTGAGGCCTCATCTCCATGGTGTGTGAACACTTGCAGGGATGATGACTCCAGCACTGCCCAGGGCAGCCTGTTCCAATGCCTGAGCAGCCTTTTGGGGAATGAATTTGTCCTAATATCCAATCTAAACCTCTTCTGGCACAGCAAGGCAGGCGATTATTTTCCCCCTGCAAAGAGCTATGGAGTTGAGCAAAGAGAAAATGGAAGAAAAAGGGAGGAGGGAAACTGTCTTTACAGCCCCTCTGGCAGCCAACACAACTTGCATCAAATATCTTTGCTACTTGTTTCTTCTGCTGCTCGACAAGGAAGACTCTCCCCAACCTGCCTATTCCCCTCTGGTGCATTCAATCACTTCTTGTCTCCAGCATCTACATTCACCTTGCCCATCACCAGGTCAGAGATGGAGCAGCAATTCCATCTTCCTTTTTACATCTCCAAAACGTTAGCTAAGGAGGGAGCCCGCCTCCTCCCTACCAAGGAGCAGCTCTGAGAGCTTTGTGGCAGCACCCTGAGCAGAGCTGAAGCACCTTGTGTGGAGAGATCCCTATTTTACAATCAGGCAAACAACAGCCCAAGCCTGCCCAGCTGCAGAGGGTTTGATTTTTACTCCTGTAGATGAATGGGTCAATTTGATCACATCATTTATTTGGAAGAAAAAGCAAACAGCGCTATATTATTTTGCTTGCTAGGTGTTGCGCATCGATGCCCCTGCTCTGCAATGGCGCAATGCCCTGACCTAGCTCCCGACGTTGCCATCTGAGGTAAGGCAGAGGGGACAGGGAATAAGTGCTACGGAAGGTATGTGGGGTCTGCTCTACACCCCTTGGACTGTCTGGCCCCATTTTACAGCAAAGGAAGCAGAGTCAGGACACAAAGACTGGCCACCACTAGTGCTTTGGGTAGGCTCAGTCCCACAGGGATAGAGGGAAAACGCTTCCAAAGCTCTGACCAACACCAGTCTAGGTGTTCCCATGGGATCTAAAAGCTGATCCAGTCCACAGTGGCTTGGCCACACATCTCTGCCCAGTGCTGGCTGTGTGGTTCTGCTGGGGGCAAAGGGGTTTAGCAGGAGGTGAGCAAGACCTAGGTAGAAGTGCGTGTTTTCCGGGGAAGACAGTGCGTGAACCCTGGCAGTGAAAGTGACTCCGAGAGAGATCGGTTCCAAACATGCTACATCTCCATTGAAAACAAACAAAAAAGTTTAAAAAATAAAATAATATTTTATATATATATATATATTTATATAAATGAAAAGCTATCAACTAGCAGCAACGGTTCTAGAGATATCTTAGCACCAAGACCAAGGGCAGGGGGGTAACAGGAGAAAGGAAAGGTTCAGTGTTGCTGATACCACCATCATGTTTCCAAACAACACAGCTTGGCACAAAGCTCATCCCTCTGGGGAGTGAGAACGTGTCAGACACCTTCTGGACAACATGTTCTCACCCCCACGATGATCTGGTCAGGTCGGTGCTGTCCATGCCACATCAGCAGGGCAAGGCACTAGCATCTGTGGAGTTTTTGCACCTTTTTGTTTGTGTGGGGTTGGTTTTTTTTGGTTAGTTTTTATCTTTTTTTTTTTTTTTTTTTTGCTTTTCTAACCTGAAGTGATATTGTGTGAATACCTGGAGCTTGTTTACTGTAAAAGAATAAAATAAAGAAGAACCCCAAGCCCACAGAACAATCTCTATGTGATGGAAGGTGCAAGTCCCCCATTCACATTTCAGCTGGGCTTTGCATCCCTTCAAGAAAAGAAGTATTTCACAGGAAGAAGCAGAAGAATCCCTTCTTCCTGCTGTCATCAGTCTGCTGTGCTGTGGAACATGTTACCTTGGTCACAAGAGAATACGTGAACCTTTGTAGAACATCATCACATGAATATAATCCAAGATAATCTTGCATTGATAGCTCCTGCCACCAAACCGCAGCAGGTTTTTCTTTCAGTCATTCCAAAGGAAAACAAAAGGAAACAGAACAAAACCCCCCACAACAATCTAGGATTATAAAGACATAGTATAAATAATGTAAATTAGAATATACTTTTTTAAGCCTTTGAATCTCAAAGCCCATGGATGGCTCTTGACTCATTGGCTGTCTAGCTTCCACAGCAGCCCTGGTTTTCGAATGAATAATTGTATATATATATATATATTTATCTCCTACAATATAAAAATATAAATGCAAAAAATTTCCCCCTGCCTTCTCTAATTTGCTATTTTATAGTCTGCACATGACATCGTGTTAGAATATATGCAGGATAGACTGGTACTACTGTAATCAGAAAAGGAGCTGAAAGCCAAGTATTACTCTACAGCCCAAAAAGAAGAACTGAGAAAGAGACATCACAGTTTTGTTGCTAAATCAGAAGAAAAACCCAAAATCACACCCCCAGCCTCTCCCTCCTGCCAGTAATCTCTATGAGTGAAGATATCTCCCACTCAGCCAAGAGAACTGGATGGAGCTGGAGAACTGGGGACAACAGAAAAGCACGGGATGCTCTGTCAGGAATCAGAACACAGGGTTGTCAACAAAAGGCTCAAATGGCTCAATAACCGGACTGAACAACGGAAAGAGAGGCAGAGATTCAAACTGAGGAGGATAAAAAAACCCCAACAACCAACCCCAAAACAAAACAACACAAAAAAACAACCCAACAACAACACACATACAAAAGAAACTGCCGGGAGGATGAGGCTGACAAAGACCCGTTGTGTAGCTTATAGAGAGTTAGGTTTGAACATGTAGAGTATGGCCCCAGCACATGCTTCTAAAGAATGAAATGTTGCCACCTACACTGCAGCTGCCATGGTTGGAGACACCAGTAAAAGTCTAAACGTTGTCTCAATCATCTTTAAAACTCTGCTTAGCTTCTATCAGACGCACATCGTCTTAAACTTTTAAACTTTCAGTGTGGGTTTCTCCTTAATATAGATAATATATATATATATTTTATATAATATATCAAAGTTTAGAGTATAGATTAAAAAAACTATTCAACAGCTTTCTGATCTGAGGCATTCCTTCCTAAATATCGGGGTAGAACTCAGAGCCATGGTCCATGCTCTGCAACATCGGCTTCTGATCAAGGGACGACATCCTGCTCAGCATTTCAGCTGACAGAGCGTAGCTATTGCCCGACTTCTCCTCAAACCAACTATCTAGTGCCCTTTTGCAATCGAAGTTGGAAATGGGCGGCCCATTAACAGCAATGGTCAGAAGATCACTGAGCTGCTCCAGCGTGAGCCGGGAGCGGTTGTTTTTGCGCACTCTCTGCAGGGCAGCACGCCCCTTCTCACAGCAGGCCGATGAGGTGGGAAGGACTTTGAGGATCTGAACTATTTTATTGAGGAGGGGGAATCTCTGTTTGTATTTACAAATGTGACTGAGCAAGTCTTTAAAACCATTTTTGGTATAATAATCCACCTTGAGTTCTCGCCACTCCATCAGCAGACTCCCGCGGGTGTCCATCCCCTCTCGGCAAACCTCTCTGGAAAAGGATGGGACCGTCTCCAGGTGTTCAAATATCTGTACCATATCCTCCTTCCCATAGCTCATGAGCTCGTCAGTGCTTCTGGGCCACGCTGCAAGGTCAAATACCTGACAGGCCTTTACAAATGTCCGGCTACGGGAATCGAACCTTTGGGCTAGGATCACCTGGGTCTTCTGGCAGATCTTTTCTCGGATCGACTGGAATTTGGCTTCAGCCACCCGGAGGTTTTTCACAGCAATGCCATTAAAGCTTTCACGGAAGTTTTCCTCAAACTCCTGCAAGTATTCCCCGGGTGAGTCCGCAAGCCGGCTGATTTCTTGGATGGCCTCCTCTATCTTATCATCCACCTGCGACACAAGAAGGTATTCCCCTTGGAAGACGTAGGCGAGGCGTGAAAGCACAGCAATCACATCCAATAGGAAGTAGATAAGTTTAATCGACTGGTAGTCCATCAGGAACTGCAGGAGGGCCAAGGCAATGGCAGAAGCATCTGCTCTTTGGGTCTGGCCACTGACATCTTTGAGATGGGCCACAACCTCAAGGTAATCCTTGATTAGAGCATTGAGCACATTCTGCTCCCCGATGATCCACTTCACTGCTCTAATGTCCCCCAAGAACTCGGTCTCCTCACACAGAGTGGCTGCAGTGACCCTCAACTCGCACATGAGTCGAGGAGAGTAACGATAGAAACTGAGCAGCTGCTTCAGATTGTTTTCCAGCTCCTCCAGGCACGGCAGTTCCTTCCCACTGATTGCATCCAAAATTTCCAAGTGGGGCCTATGTACCATAAAGGGCAGGCAGAGAAGCCAGGGCAAGGTCTTTCTGATTGTCATGAACAAGTTGGCTCTCAGGCTGGCAGTAATGTTAGCACCATCGACTCCCAAGCCAATAGTTGGCTTCTCATCCTGCAATTGTATTCCGAGACTGGAAAAAGCCCTGTCTAATGCTTGGAGGTAACTGTCTGTTGTAGAAAAGCCCAGTTCCTGAAGAGACAGGAATTCTGTTGCTGGAGGCCCATCGCTGCTTGTGTACTGCACATAAACTGCCACAGTATCTGCAAGCAAGTCATCACTCTGCCCATCTAGGATGATGCTGAGGAAGGGAGACTGTCGGATGCGTTCAACGAGGTCCTCTCGAAGAGCCCGGGCGATGTGATGGATTAAGATTTGGCAGTCTCCCTCGTTCATGTACTGATCCACCACCTTGAGCTCACACTTCCTCAGCAGTTCTGCCAGAGGCCGAAAGTCATAGTAGGGCCTGCCCTCCAGGGCCAAGTGGTAGGCTGTATTGAAGAGGAGGGTCATGTTCCGGCACATCTCTTCTGTCTTCTCCGGGTGCATCCTGAGCTTGTAAAGCTGCAGGCACTTCTTGTGGAGGTTGCTCTGGCTGTGAAGCTTTATTGTGTGTATCTTGAACTGCTTTGAGCCAATGATGAAGGCTGAAGTCCGAGAGGATTGCACTGTGTACTGCCTGCAGACGTGGCACCACATTTCATTCAGTGTCGGGGAGTACCGCAGAAACCAGAACTTTTTAAGCCACTCTTGCTTGAACCGCCGTATCCTTCGGCCCGTTGCAGAAGACATCTTGGAAGGCTCATCTGTAGCAGCAATCATGTCATTGGAAACTGATTCATCAGCAGAATCTACCTCTTGGTCATCGTCCTCCATGATGGTGGGAACAGAGATGATGCTTTCTGAAGCTGTAACAAGAACAAGAACAAACAGAAAAGGTATTTACAAAGTTGCTGAGCTAGAGAAGCATCCTACTGGTGACAGCAGACCATTGCCTGATGAGGCGGCCACAATCTGCCCTCTCCTGCCCCCACAATGCACTACAGGTAGAATTTGAATCATGGCTTTGAAGGGAAAACAAATCAATGTTTCTGCATATGAACTTTGTCTCCAACATGCCACAATGGACAGCAAGAAAGAACACTACATCCTGGCCACTTACACAATACATGGTATGACCCACACATTCCCTTTGGTGACGGTTCCTGGCTGCTCAACAACACATTCCTGAAGGAAATGAAATGTATCTTCAGAAAGGGACACATGGGTGTGTTAAGGCAATGGAGAAACAGCGAGGGCTTTCCAACAAGGGGCACAGCAGGACATCATTTCATACACAAAGAGCGCACATTTCAGTGTTACCACAGTTATTCAGACTTGTTTGGTAGCCCTTGAGGCACTGCAGAGGGGCTTTCGCTGGAAGAGAAGGCATCAAAAATACAGCAAACAAACTGTCTGCAATGGAATGTCTTTTTTATTGGCAGTGCATGATCGATTACAATGGCAACAAAGAGCAAGTTGTCGTACAGAGTCTTTCCCAAGACAGTGTTTTCCACTGTGCCCTGGACCACCCAGTCACAAAACCTGACAGCGAACCTTCCATGGGACCAACGTGTTCACCTGAATATTCAGGGCAAAAACGCTTTAGATGGGTACACAGCACACAGGCATCTCACTACTCTCCTTAGGCAGGGTTTGGAGAACGCTGTTACTCGGCAAGGCTTACCTGTGGGGTCTGAGAATTCTTGGAGCTCGGGTACCTGGGGCGGTAACACGGCTGGCTCGGGTAACTTCCCAGATCTCAGCATGTCTAACTCAGCCTGCAGCTCCCGGATCTTCTTCTTCAGACGGATGCAGTTGGGGCAGAAGGAGGTGGTGGGGATTTCATGGGAGTTGCCTTGTGCAGAGGCCAGCGACAGCTCCGTTGGGCTGTCTGCTTTGAGTGACAAAGGCTCTTCTTCCTCATCTTCAAGGATTCCCATCTCTTTGGCAGAGCTGAAAGAGGAACCATGAGGGACCTTCCATTCCCCCTCGCTCCGGTTTCTGCTGAGGCCCAGGGAGCCGTGCTGCATGGCACTGCCACACCGCTCAAAGATGTCTTCAGCCTGGTATTTAGATGCTTTTCTGATGGCAAGCGGTGTACTTGTTACTAACTGGTTCTCTTCGAATTTGGCGGACTCCAAAGAAGCCTCCAGGACATCTTTGAAGATGAGGTCAATCTTTTTCTTCTTTGTTTGGGGGTGGGATTCCCCCTCCTCACAGCTGCGCTTGTAGGGGCTCTTCCCTTGCTTTAAGGTGACGAGCTGGAGAGGCCCCCTCGTGTCCTCTTGGTTCTCCATGTTCTTTTCCAGCTTCTCCCTCTGTAACCTTCTGTCTCCTAGAAAGGAAAGCGAGGGGTGGGGATTATCACTGGGAACCCAGCAACATCCCTCAATCTAAAACTCAAACAGAAAATAGAATAAAAAGGCAGGCTGAATCCCTGCAGGTCTGCGCGTTGCGTTCCAAACCAGGGAACTGACACAACCCATTGGAAACCAAGGCTTGCGAGAGGAAGGAGCCCTGCTAATGGGCAGGTCTGCAAAAACAGAGACAGTTTTGGGTAGCCACAGCGGAGCAGAACCCACACATCTTAAAGAGAAGCAACTACAGGCAGCTCGTTTAACCTAAAGGTGTAACCAACCTGTGCTGGAAGAGGACTACGAGGCGAATGACTGATCGCAGTGGAACCTAACGCTCAGAGCCCAAGCACTGTTTTGGCTGGCTGGAAGACCTATGCCTGTTTTGACTTGGTAAAAGGTATCAAGTGTACAGCAGTGCAGCGAGAGATTTGGACCATTTCATGACAACCATGGCACAAAGTTTGCAAGCCCCTTTACTCTCATTCAGTTTGGAGGCTGCTCCAGAAATGCAAAGGTAAAGGAGTAAGAAACAACCTGCACTCTTAAACACCAAAGGTACTCATTGTCAACTGAGCTACAATGGGTGAATGCCCTCCAAGGAGGGGGCATCAGTGGAGTCTAAGAGCGTGGCCATTCAGTGATAAAATGAAAATAAAATAAAAGCAACCTCATACAAATTATTAATTGCTTAAAATAAATGGAATAGCCAGATTTCCTTACCTGGAAATTCAAAAGACGATAGGTTTGGCTCAATTTCCATCATTCTTCTATCTTGTAAATAACTTCAAGCATTGATGGCTCCCAAACAAGACGCTGCTTTATGCTGATTTTTGGTTTTGTTTGCTTTTAAAGTGTATTCATGCTTTCATAATTGTTACGGAGCAAAAGCTACCATTCTCTCTCTAAGGAGAGCAATGCTATGAATGCAGAAAAGATGCAAGACTTGAAACAGTTAGAGTAAGGCACTGTAAAAAGGGCTGGCCCGAAGGCAGGGATTTTGCACTGGGTTTGGATGCTGGCTGGCAACCCCAGCCTCTTCTGGACTGAATCCGTAACAACAGATCTCATTTTCAACACACTGATGAGGATTTCTATGGGCAAAGCTTTTGAGCCTTGACTACTGGTATTTGAGTCTTGGTATTTCCCCTGTTACAGACTAAAACAACTGCTGGCAGAGGTAGGGGTTTAGAGAATGGGTTCTTCTTCCCCAGTGATTTTTTCCCCCAACCACCCAAGTGGTTCAGCCCTATGGAAAAGCTATAAATCACAAGATGATCCCTCACATTACTGTTCTCAACTCCATTGGTGGGGCAGGTCAGAAACTGCCAACACAAACAAAACCCTGTGAGTTTAAAGCATGCCACTTCATGCATGGGGCTCATCTGCAGGGGATTTGAAGTCTGTTCAATAGAAAGTGACTCAAGAGGTTCTGGTGCTGCTCCCTGACCACCTCCCAGTGCCCTTCCAGCTGAGTTGGTGATGTCTCTTGCAAGTCTAGCAATGGCCCAAGTGATGCTCCATTTAACAACATCCCTGTGCTGATTTTTGGAATGCAGGCTGAGCCCAACATGATGCAGGATGCTCCTAGAATGTTCTCCATGGCCATGTAGGTTTCTACCTGAGTGTGTGGTATGGCGGGTCCTGGTGAGCAGATCTTCACTGCACTTGTAGCACTGAGCAGGCTGCGAGTGACCATTTCAAACCACCACACCATGACAAACCGTGACTAAAGGCATGTCTGTGTGGCAGGGCAGGAGCCTTGGTGCCCATCCAGAGCAGCTGCTCCAAGGGCCCAGTCCTTCTCTTGCCGTACTAAGTACTAAGCCATCTGGACCACTAACGCGTGCATGTTGTGCAGCTAAGTCACTGCAGCCTGGACCTAATCACTCAGTGATGTTCATTAACATATTAAAAAACACATTCACACCAACGTTAATTCAGAAGTGGGAATTGCCCAAGTACAGCCATCAAGATGTGACACTGCAAATGCATAGTAACACTAAGGTGAGAGAGGATAACCAGCTTTTTCAGGACATGTTGTCCACCCCAAGATTGAAGAGGAGACACCTTTTACCAAGTCAAGGCAGCAACAGCAGCTGTGTAATAATATACATGGAAATCTTAATTAGAAAGTTATATTTAGTGTGGCTGCTCCTCTGAGGCCTATGGGTAGGCCTGGAATGAAATGCCCTTAATTAACTTCAGGTATCAGCACTACATAAATGGAGAGATGCATTAAGAGTTTTTGCCTTCCTCTAAAGCTTCCTATATTGCTGACATTACACTGACCTAAAGGACCGCTGGGTTTGTTCCAGAATGGCTACTCCTTAAGATAAGAACAATTTTTATCCAGGGAGGAATCAGTGTGACAAGAACAAAGCCTCCTGTATGTTGTACACGCACTCTAAGGTTGTGAGACTAAGGAGTCTCTAGCTGATGTCGCGCTGATCCCAAATTATCTCTCTGAAGAAAGAGGAGATAAATTAAGCGAGGAAAATGGACATACAAACACATTGAGGAGATCTCTCTTTCTTATGCACACAAAACCAGATGGAGCCCCCTCAGACAGGCTACTCAAGGAGCCAGAGGAAGCAGCACGGTCAGAGGAAAAAAATAATGCTGTCTGTAAGATCTCCAGCCTGGCAATCTTCAGGCTGGAAAATCTTGTGTTAGAGATGCTCTGTGATCCCTGGGCTTTGCTTCAGGCTCTTGCACACACATGACATGACATGACACGACACAACACATGACATAACATGACACAACATATCGCAAATCTCTTTCATGATGTCCACGACAGTGGTTATCTGATTCTTCTTGTACACCTACCCATCCATCCATCCATCCATCCATCCATCCATCCATCCATCCATCCACACACCCACCCATCCATCCACCCATCCATCCATTCATCCATCCATCCATCCATCCATCCATCCATCCATCCATCCATCCACCCATTTATCCATCCATCCATCCATCCACCACCCATCTGTCCATGCCATGCATAACTGGTGACTCTCGCCTAGAGGTGCTCTGTGTCTAGAAACACAGCTCTCCTCACCTAGCCTGTGCATTACCTATTTCACCCATCACACGTGGTCCAACAAGTGTCTCAGCCCAAGGGGATGCAGGGAGAAGGGTGGAAAGGGAAGGACTCACCGCTTGTGAGGTTCCTGTTGATGGTCTCCTGGGATATACAGTGCAACCTCTTCATGTAATCCTCACTGTACCAGACCCGCAGCTTCTCCCCAGGGCAGATGTCACGGCAGGCACGGAAGTAAATCCTCTCGCTGTGCTGGAAGGCCATCAGGTTCTGCTCCCTCTCCTCCCGGGAGATGATCACGTACCTGGAGGCAAGGTGACAAGGCAGGTGTGAAGCACAAAGCTCCCTCCTGTGCCCTCCCCTTGCACCAGAATGACAACCATGATGGAGCCACAATGACCTTCATAGAGAGCCATCAACACAGCCACACTGGAAAGCATGGAATAATAAGTAATGTGTGCAAATTGCCAGATACAGGACAACAAGCACAAACACCCGGGGAACACTAAGCCAATGGGTCCATTTCTGCTGGGGAAGGGATGACAACAATGTACGTCCAACATGAAGAAGTATCTGCCAGTGAGGGTGACACAGAATCTCACAGGCAGAAATATCTTTGCCTGGGGATGGAAACAAGGACTTCTTGATTCCTCACTACCACTTCACATCCCAGTGACTCCTCCCTTGCTCTCAGGGACATCTGGAACATGGCAGTTTCCCTCAGCCAGTCTCTTTTCCCAAAACACCATCTCTCTTTTTAGTAGATACTAGATTTCGTTGCTGCTCTCCTCTTGGACAAGCAGAATTGAGATACTCAGGACATAAACACAGACACCTAATGTGCACGGGGGAATTCACCGGTTGTCCAAAAGGAAACAAAGTACATGCCAGAACTGGAAGGTTTTGCACTTGGGCATTCAGCAGGGTGGGACATAAGAGTACAATCAGTCCTGCAAGTGGAACCCCCAGCATTACATTGAGCATCTCTTTGTAGTGCTGACAGGAAGACTGCCTTCTGGGCATGGGATTTATCTTCCTGATTTAAACCGGCTAGATTTCAGCTCAGCAGAAATGTATTAATTCCCCCTCCAAGCAACTGGCCTTCTGTTCACTTGCTAAGACAGATCTATAGCTAGGACCACATCATTTGCTCTCATACTCCTTGTGTTCCTGTTAAGAGAACATTAAAAAGGCTTGCTAAGACTGGTTCCAGCTGCCACCAACACGAGCTCCTAACACCCACCCAGAACCAGGTGGAGGCCCCATCATTGCACATACAAGCGGATCTGAATGGTTCACAGCCAAAAGCTTTTTCTTTTCTTATTCCATTTGCCTCTATTATTCTATTATTATTATTATACATGCATTATATACTCCTGCTGCAGTAACATTAATGAAGGCCAGTGTCACATGGCTCCTCTGACATCTGCTGCTATGAGTCCTTGTCCAAACATTCTCTTATAGCTCACAGGAATGTCTTTGGCTTACGAAATCCAAACGCTTTCCCCTTCTCCAGGCACGTGCACGCACACACAGAAGACACAAGCCCACCTGCATGTGAGCCCACTAACACATAAGGTCATAAACTTGGCGAAGCTTCCCACGGAACGCCCCAAGTAAGTCTGCAGTGTCTCTGACCACTCGTTCTGGTTTTAATGTTCAGCAACAGTGCATGTGCCTGCTATCAGTTGTATTTTTCCTAACGTGAACAACGCAGGATGCTCCGCAATCTTCAGTCATTACCCAAGCAGCAAGCTCTGGCACTGCCAAAATTAGCCCAGCGTTGGCTTTGGTTAACCCTTGTTTTACTTCTGAGCACAAAAGGCACTTTTAAACCACCAGCCTGTGTGTGTCTGAGAAGGAAAGGAGGCCTGGAGCAGCACGGTGGGAAGGAGGTCCTGCAAGAGCACACAGTTAGCACTACTGGGCTGTCACTTCTGAGTGTTATCCATCACTACAATAGGTGCATCAGGCATTCAGAGATGCCCGACAATACAACCGTTGAGATGCAGCAACTTGTTGTGGTCAGCCTGGTGCCCCACAGCACAAGAGATCCTAGAGGATGCTCTCCCCAGTCCAAGCAGAATGCCAGGTTGCTTCTACCAGCTAGAGGGAGACCCTGCATCTGCCCTGCATCCCACTGCCCAAACAGAGCAATGACAAGATGAAGCTGCCCCTGCAAAGAAGCCTGGTCACCTGCACAGATTTATTGTAGAATCAAATCATAGAATGGCTTACATTGGAAAGGACCTTAAGATCATCCAGTTCCAACCCCCTGCCACGGGCAGGGATGCCTCACACTAGACCAAGTCACCCAAGGCTCTGTCCAACCTGCCCTTGAACACTCACCACCCTGAGGTCACTCCCAGCTCCTCAGTGCAACACACAGGGCTCACATTCCCACAGTCAGTGGCACTGAATTCAATGGGCAGTGGCACGATGGCCTGGTGCATCCCCATCAAAGTGCATGTAACAGTGAGATGTACAGAATCCTCTAAAACACAACTCTGCATGGGAAGGGAGAGCATGGTTAACTGTAACTGCTCCCACCAGGGCTCACTTTTACGATGAAGTACAATTAAGAATGAGCATGCTTTTCCTGTTCGCTGCTCTCTGTGCCTCCAGGTTTCTCCCTGAGGAGTGTCCTTCAGCTTTGCTGCTGCATCCTGCAGCTCTGGACACAGCCTGGAGCATCAGGGAGCTGGGAGGAGAGTGCTGCTGCTTTCACCAGGAGGTATGTAGGAAGCCCTTAGCAGAGAGTAGTGGAATAATCCAGTCACAAACATGTTTCCTGACTGCTTCTGGCAGCTGGTAACTGCTTTACACTCCTTGAGAGGAAGCTTTACAACTGTGATACTTCCCTGAGGTAATATAAAGAGGGATGAGATCATCCACATAAATGAAACCAGTGCTGCGCTGGTGACCACAGAGGCACAAATGACACAGGTTATAAAGGACTGCATTAAACCCAAATTCACCTGCTGGCCTAAGGTCTGCACACCACGGGTTGAGGATGAAGTCACAACATTAAAGAGCAGCCTGCTTGGCAAGGCAGGGACACAAACTGCTGCTGAGGGCAGAGCACAGGATCTGCCTTCACTGACACATCCTCCCGAGACCGCAATGCTCACACCATCAGCAACCTTCCTGTGAAGGCTGGGAAGCGGCCAGGTCCCTCCTGATGCCAAACACTCAAGCTGCATGGAGGCAGGATGGCTCCCTTAGTTTAGATGCCCAGGACACAAGTACTGCACGCAGACAGGCATGGCTCTGCTTGTGTAGTGAGCTTCCCTTGGACTGTGATCCCTGGAGGAGCAGGGTCAGGATCACTGATGGAACAGACACAGCCACCCAGAGCTGCTCCTGCTCCTGCAGGAAGCACAGCTAACAGCTACAAATAGATCACTTCATGTCCTGCTCAGTCCCTCAGCCAGGCTCAAGACCACCACAGATTCTTGCCCAGGCTACTCAGGACCAGCCACTGCACCAATGGAGACCATTAATGACCCATTCGCAGCTACTGGGGCTTAGATCAACCCCATGGCTATTGGAAACACAGCGCCTTCCTGTTCAGGGCCACCTTTCCCATATCCTCTCCAGCCAGCAGCACACTCAGGACACCCAATTGCCAGGTTTTGGGATGGCCCAGGGAGCATGCCCAGGAAAACATCAAGGTATTGAGGAAGCTCAGGCTCCTGCCCACCCAGCTCCTCCCCATGCAGGCTCTGCCCTATGCCTATCCCATGCCCCTGTGTTGCTCACCCTCTGGCTTGGCCCTGGTGGTGCTCCACTGATGCTCTGCCATGGCTGAGCACCACAGGGAAAAAGGCCATTCACTGGCCTTTCCCAAAGCAGAGGCAGGGCAGGAGATGCCACATGAGAGCTGCCACAAGCTCAGGCAGATGCCATGAGGTGCCATATCCACAAACCCTACCCCAGCACCTCCAGGAGACCCCAGCATGTGTAACAGG